CTCAGCCAACTGGATCACAATGGCAAGCCTCTACAGTTACCTATTCCTGTCAATACACTCTTATTATGAAATATGAATGACCCCTGTTTTTTTTGTTTTTCTCTTTGCAGATGGTTCCTTGGACGGCACCTGCATTATTTCAGCTCTCAAACTCGCCATTGAAGAAATAACTGAGACAGATAAACCACCAGCCCACATCTTGGAAAATAAGCTATCATGTACATCTGATTTGGAGAAGGGATATTTGACATTGTCTCACAACACAACCGCTGATGGTCATACGGTGATGGTCATGAGTGGGATGAAGGTGGATGAGACTAGTGCGACTGCTGGGGAAAGTGGAACAGGGGTGCCTTTGGGAGGTGTTACGGGACATGAAGAAAACGCAGGGCTTGTTAAACACCAAGCGGAGAAGGCTCCTCGGTTTCTCAAACAGTGCCGTGTTCAGCTAAAAAGACTGGACATGCCGCCGCGGACTCGCCCTGCGAGACGAAACAGAGGCCTGAGGATGAAAAAGATGCTGTTGGAGGAGAAGAGAGCTCTTTGCGAAGAGGCCCTCCCTGCCTACAAGTCGGCTTCCAGGAAAACAAAACCCTCCAATAGGACTCTCGTACACATCTCTGAGGAATCGAGCAGCTTCGGCAAAGTCGACTCCTCATACATGGCTCCCATCGACGATTGCAGTGACGAATCGTGGTCTTACTACTCTGATGAGGACTCTTGCCATAAGACCGCTGGCAGCGGTCATAGTATGGCCGAATCGTGGTCCAACTACTCGGATGACGAGCCTCCGTTTGTGACTCCCGTCGGTAGTTCTACTGAAGGTGATTCCAACGAGGACCCTTCCTTCGCGGGTCCTAAAAGGGTATCAGCTGCCAGCAGAAAGCCGGGCATCTCCGACGTCAAAGCCGGCGCTCCCAAAAAGACTCGGAAAGTCCAGTGTATCATCTGCAATGAGCCCGTGAGCACGAGCCTGAGGACCCACATGAAAACCCACTTCCCCACCGGTGGTTACACCTGCCCCCGGTGCGACAGCAGGTTCAAGCTCTTCTCGTCGTTGAGGCTGCACTTGAACAGGACCTGCTTCGAGCACGGTCAGCAGCAGGCGGATCCGGCCAAGCCGGGAGAAGCCGACAATCTTTTCAAATGTGACGAGTGCGGCGAGGCTTTCGGGCACCAGGTTTCACTGGAAGGGCACAAACGGACCCACAATGAACTCTACTGCAGCGTGTGTAGGAAGGTGCTGCGGGACGCGGCGACGCTGGCCAGGCACAAGGCCTCCCACACCCTGTTTCAGTGTAACCGCTGCGAGGAGACCTTCGTTCTGTTCAAGCCCTTGCTCAGGCACTGCGAGAACGTCCACCAAATCAGGAGGCCGTTCAAATGCAACTATTGCCCCAAAGTCGTAGCCAAGCTGCGCGCTTTGATCGTGCACGAGTGGAAGCACACGGGCCACCTGCCGTTCCAGTGCGCCCTGTGCTGCCTGAGATTCAAAAGCGACGCGGATCTCACCTCCCATGAGAGGGTCCACACCAGAGAGAGGCCCTACCTGTGCGACGATTGCGGCAAGACGTTCTCCCAGAGGTCCAACCTGCTGCGGCACTTGAATTTCATCCACGGCGAGTCTCGGAACGAGAAGAAGTATTCTTGCACCGAGTGCGAGAAGTCCTTCAAGGAGAAAGGGGCCCTGAAGAAACACCAGAAGGCCAAACACTTGTGCGAGTTGTTCCGTCACCCGTGTCCGTACTGTGGAAAGATGGTCTCCACGTCGACAATCGCGAGACATAAATTGATCCACACGGGAGAGAGGCCTTTCAAGTGCACCGTGCCCGAGTGCGACAAGTGCTTCAGGTCAGCTTCTGAAGTGAAGAGGCACGTGCTTGTGCACCACACCACGGAGAGACCGTATAAATGTGATGTCTGTGGAAAGGGCTTTATAAAAGTGTGTTATCTCAACGCACATGCTAAAGTACACTCAGGGGAGAAGCCATTTGTTTGTCATTTATGCGGCAAGGCTTTCCCCAAGCGCTACAGCATGCAAAGACATAAAACACTTGTGCACGCATTTGTAACGCATTAACCCGCATGGAAGGAATGCTTCGTTAAACAGCGGTCGGACAAAATTGACATGTAGAGAATTCACTGTTCGAACCATTGACATTTTGAAACAGGTTTATATTGAGACATAATATTTTCTAAAAGCCATATCAAACAAACCTGAGAGAAACATACAGTGTGTGTGTGTATGTATATATATGTATATGTATATATATATATATGTATATATATATGTATATATATGTGTATATATATATGTAT